GGACACCATCACATGCCTGGGACACCATCAAAACATGACCGGGACACAATCACATGACCGGGACACCATCAAAAAATGACCGGGACACCATCACAACATGACCGGGACACCATCAAAACAGGACCGGGACACCATCACAACATGACTGGGACACAATCAAAACATGATCGGGGCTCACAATCATCACAACATGACCGCGCCACCATCACATGATCGGGACACCATCAAAACATGACCGGGACACCGTCACAACACGACCGGGACACCATCACAACATGACCGGGACACCATCACAACATGACCGGGACACCTTCAAAACATGACCGGGACACCATCACAACATGACCGGGGCACCATCAAAACATGACCGGGACACCATCAAAACAGGACGGGGACACCATCACAACATGACTGGGTCACAATCAAAACATGACCGGGACACCATCAAAACATGACCGGGACACCATCCGCCCACCAGCTCTGACGGTGACCCGACGGCGCCCGTCCGCCTATTAGTTTTGCAAGACCCCATAGCATGGCTATTGGGGAAAAAGGATGGCCCCTCAGACAGGCTGCCCTGTGGCGGGGACAGGGAGTAGTGTATTGTGGCGGTGAGGTGAGTGGTGAGTGTTATCGGTTGAAGATATTGAAGCAAAGAGATTCTGCTGGAAGTACCAGGTCATGACCTTCGGGCTTGGCATTGGACAAGCAGTGAAACGAAAAACGATCACGTGGGCAAAAGAATGCATTAGTAACCTGAATCTGTTTCACCTGACTTCAAGACCTAGCAAATGTCTCTGGACCATGTGGAAGAAATGTCTCTCGCCAAGGGCGAAGTTGGAACCCTGGCTTTTGAGAGCTCGCGGCGCTCCGCGAGCGCTACCGATGTCATCTCTTTTGCCTTTCAGCGCTTCATCGCTGCACGTTGGCCGTAGTGGATGCCTTCAGGTCCTGGCCGAGAGAGAACAAAACCGCACATCATCCGGGCGCGCGACCGGCTGTTCTGAGAATCCACACCTCAAAACCGCAGACTGGCCTCGGAGGTTAAGTGTCTGCTACCGATAATCATCCAATATCCAAGCATTGTCGTAAGAGCTTTCTTCTTGTGTCCATCCTGGCCCGGTTCAGTTTGCGACTGAAATGACTCTGCTTGCCGATTACTTCACTTGCTCTCCGTGAAAGTGGGAAGCAGTTTAGCTGCACACGTAGCCTTCGGAGCCCTCGTAGTCCATGGCTTCCATTGTGACCAGGTGGATCTCAATTGTCAGCCTAATCTGGTCATGCCCTAAGACCTAACGGAAAAAAGGACCAAGTTCATCACTGCCTCCATCCTCTCCGCCCTCTCAGCGCGGGGAGAAAACACACCAACACAGACAGACAAAAGTGATCCAGACCTCAGGAAGTGCAAGAAATCGAATTAGAGCGTGTTCGTGGCACCCAAGATGGAACTACCCTCCATTGTTTGAAATACAAGGCCATATGATCTTTGTTTCCTTCGCGGCAAAAGAGCACTTCACGGAGACTTTCTGCACATCGGGTGGCCAAGTATTCTGCTCATGTGTTCTTGTGTGTGAGGCTGAAGCGTCACTCACATGTTGCCTTCATTGAGAAATGAGTGCGGTTCTTTTCTCATGTGATTGCCAGATTGCTTCCAATTCTTGTCCGAAATCACTTCACCTCCTGATATTTTTGCGATATAACTGCTTGGAAAAGTTTCTTGTTTCTCTCTCAAGGGCAAAGCTTTGTCTCTCAAAAAGATTAAGGTCGTGACTTAGACCTGTTCGTCAAAAAGGAACGACGGAGTTTGGCAGAAAAGTGGCCTGGCAATTCAAACAGGTGGAAAAGATGGATTCGCCGAATCTTGTCACAGGTGGCCTCCTCACTCTGTGGGGTCGCCAATCACCGCGGTCATCACTGCAGTTGCGAGGTCCTGCGAGTCTGATGAAAAAGCCGCATGAAAGTAATCCGAGAGCTGTGTATCCATGCTGTCTGCAAAATGTTCAAAAGCAAGCTCAAAAATCCAGCCTTGAGAGAAATTTGCCAAAGAGGTCCTCGATAGTGTTGAATCAAATGAGCTCTCCAACACGCTCTCCAGCACCAATATTACACTCCTTTCAGGACGTATGCCCTGCAGCATCCAGCAGCATTGTCACCCCTGAGCTCAGCGCTGTCACCCAGCATCACACCAAACGGAGCAATCTCAAATCTCCGTAGCTGTCCTGAGCCCAAAAGCAGTGAATAGAAAATGCAATCCTTCTGGGATAGCAGTTGACTTTTGTGATGCAGTGATGCTGTAGAGACTCCTGAGCAACCCATAAGCATCAAAGAAACTGCCTGCCTCGTCGCTGTTGGCAACAAAGCTTCCGAAGCAGACACCCACATTCTGAAGGGGATGTACTTTATGACCACATGTGTGTGAATACAGAAAACCAAGACAGTGTTGCTGCTGTTGACCTTTTGAGAAGCTTGTCAGGGGGTGTGTAGCCGATACGGCAAGAAGCCAGGTTCAAACGAATATATATCAAAAAAACAAGCTCATCTTGACACGACCAAAAGGCTAAAGTAGCAGCAAGATCTACAAAGAATCAAAGGTGTACTGTTTTTCTCTGCAGAAGGAAACACATCAACCAAGCAATTTGCTCACCTTGACTTGGTCAAGTGCAACGTTCCGATCTGTGCCTCTTCGAGACTTTTTCAGCCGAAACTTGACTCGGTTGAGTAGAACAAAGACTTGAAGAAAGATCAACGCGAGCAATGGCATCAACGCCAGTAAGATTAGCGGCAGCGCCAGAAGGACTATGTTCATCTCTTCATCCACCTCGCCTCATTCATGCGTCCACCATGAATCAGCTATAGGCTATAAATAATGTCATTTCGAGTTCTCATTCTGCAGCTACTTCTGCTGTTTTCAGGCTTTATGTGGCCATACGGCTAAATTATATGCTCTATTGCAATGCGTTTCGACTATTGCAAATGCATCAGATTGAAATGATAAGAGATGTGACTAGCTCTCATCATAGTTCGTCTCCGGTGAATTTCCGCATGTTCTCAAATATAGACTCTGTGCATGCAAAATAGCCCGAATGTAAAAGCCTTCCCTTTTTAGAGGAAGAAACCCTTCACCACCTGGAATCCCCATAAGCAACTTCCCCAGCTCTCCCTTATCCTAGGTGCCGCATTGCTTCCTCCCTTCCCAGGTGGCACATCTCAAAAGCAGCCGGGTTGCGCTTGTAGGCAATCCCCGTGAGCAAGGTCGTGCAAACCAAAGCTGCAACCAGCTTCGCGACCGTCCATCTCAAAGTGTGAGAATGCGAAACGGAAATGGTAATACTAAGTGGACTCATGCTTCCATCGTACCCCAAAATGAGACATGCACGACAACCCTCCAGCAGAGCCAGGAGAAGGGCGGGGCTGGCCACGATGTACCATGCTCCCCACTCCACATAGCCCTCTGCCCTGCATGGGGTCCACAGAACCATCAAGATGCGTAGCAATCCAGAGAGAAGCAATTGGAACAGGGAGATGATCTGGTAGTCCTGACGGAATGCAAGCACTAGCTCCACCAACTCCAGAAGCACCCATGGTCCTACTGTCACTGGCCACGGAAAGACATAGAAATCCAAGCGTAGAGCCGCTAGAACTCCGCAGGCCAGGAATGCCAAGTTCACCTGGATGCCATATGCGTCAAGGTCTGCTGGATCTGGCATGGGCGTGTTCCGAACATCGTCTGAATCTCTCTTTGGTGGCCTTTTGCCAAAGCAAACAGCAGCTGCAACTGACAAATGGGTCACTTGCAACAACCATAATGGCACAAAGGAAATGGACCATGGTATTGCAAGGTAGCCACTGGACTTCAGCACAATAGACCAACTGGGAAGGCACAGGAGGGAGCTGATGAATAACAAGAAGAAGATACCCCAAACACCACAAGCCTTGGCGAAGTGGACCGTGATCTTGTACAAGAGCAACAACTCCCCCATCAGCCCTGTGAGGCACACACGACGCCACCAAATCTTCAGAGCTGCTGTCAACTGTCGGTCTTCGCAGAGGACCAGTACATGAGCGGCAGAAGCAGCCACGCTTTTCGGGTGCATTTCACCAAGCTGCTGGGAAATCTTTGGCCAAACATCTTGGTACTTTCGGATAGATTCTTGAAAGTCACACTGCAGTGCATAAGTTTCAGCCAGCATCAGTTCGCAAAATATGCTTGCTGGGTGATTTCCTCCAAGCTGCTTTGTCCATTCTTCCCCTGCTTTCTTGTAGTATTCAATCGCTTGTCGGTGTTTCAACAAGCACGTGGACACAAATGCTAAATCCTGCAAGGACTCTAATGTGTCGAAATGTGTTTCTCCAAGCACCCGTTGCCGTCCCACGTAAGCTTCAATCAAAAAGGGCTCAGCGACGTTCATCTTGTGCTGCATCTTGTACATGGAGCCCAGAAGGCTTAATGACCGCTGTCTTTCCTCTTCCAGTTGCTGCTCGGAGACCTTGGAGCTATCCCTTGGCAAGCTTCTCATAACACGAACTTGAAGATCCTTAGATTTTATACACAGCCGGGTGCCAAAGCATTCTTACAAGAAAGATGCAACAACATACAGTACTAGATGCAAACCTGAGTGAACTATCGCTCGTCCAACACACAAACAATCCGCAACACAGAGCGCCTAGGACACTTTTGTTGGTCTGCAGCTGCCCTAGAGGCGTTCTGGTGGAACCTTTCCCGCAGGGCAAGAGAGTCTTTCGCACATTGATAGTCCGCATGTCCGGCTCAACAATGATGGTGTGATTGGATTGAAAGGAACGCACATGAAAAAAGATTTAAAAAAGTCTTCCAAAAACACATTGCAGGGTGGATCAGCTGTGGACGTTCAATTAGCAGGTGAATGGAAGTGGAGATCAAGAGTGTCACTTCTGGGACGGAAATGGATAGAAGCTCTTTGGTAGATGAAGACCAAGGTGAAGTGTGAGCGGTACATTTTTTAGCCAAGGGACGACTTAGGCGCGGCAATGGTCGGTGCATGCGTTGCACGATTCTTTCGAAGATTTGCACAAGTTGCACGAGCAAAATTGCATCGTGCTGCTCATCAGCTCCCAGAGTGGAAGTTCTTGCCCCGCAACGAGAACCCGGTCGGATTGCGACGACACAGGTTCACCAAAGAACTGCCCCGCGAAACCGATCATGCACGAACACGAGGACTTTTGCGAAACGGTCGAGAAAAAGGATGACTGAGCGGCACGTGCACACCCTGCCTACGAACCCTGCCTTCACCGTACCATAAGAACCCTTTAGTTGCCAGCAACGTGTTTGGGAAACCACGCCAGCTTTCTCATCTCATCTCTGGCACATGGCTGGCCACGTCATCTGGGATCGAATGCCAGCACACGACGAGGCTTTCGGCGGTGCTCTCCCAAGTGTCAAGTTTGGCACCTCGACATCGACGATTTCCTGGGCACTTGGCGAGAAGCATTGTGGCTTGGCGTTTTCCATGTTCGTAGCAGGTCGAGATGGAAGCAGCACTTGGGTCTGATCTGCGCTGCAGGACAAGTCGCGCAGTACTTTGGGGTGCACTTCGCCAGTGAATCGGACTGGTCACCCGTTCTTCGAATAGGAAATCTCTCCAAGTGGTCTTTCTGGTCTTTGGAAGTGCTTGGGGTGCGAAACGAACTGGCAGGGCTCTGCGACTAGAACCCAGGCGGAGCACTTTGTGAACCTCTAGATCCACAGCGTGTGGCAGGCACAGCATTTGGCGGACCTCGACGTTTTGTCATGCGCGTGCGCTCTCATGTACGTGCTCTCACATGTATCATATGTGCGCCTCGTGTGTGCCCTGACGTCACTGACGTATCATTCTTCCTGTCTGGGATCTGTTGGTTTGTTGGAGCGCCTGAGAATTGTTGATTGTTGAAGCCTCAGGCTGAGAGATGATGTCGAGCTCCCAGGCCGCCTCATAGTCTTTGGGCTCCAGCGAGCTGCCGCAGCCGATGAAAAACATGTTCCTTGGCCGCTGATCCGTCCGGATTTGCTTCTAAGGTGGAGGCCATCGCTACTCGGCAGCTTTGGACGAAAAGCCCCGTTGGCTTTTACGACCTCACCTTCGCCCTTTGGGGCACTCGCTCTTTCGGGAAGGAAGCAGGTCCAACGGATTCAAAGAGTCTGACTGCCAGTCAGGCTGAAAACCGTTTTACACGTGTGGAAACCTGCACCTTGCATCACCCGTCACTAGATTCACTAGATGTCACAACATGTTTGGCACTTCTGTTCTTCAAAGTGCAGACTCTGTTTCTTGGACGCCGTATCAGCTAGCCCCAGGCTCATCAAGGCTCATCGCTTTGAGGTCCATAACAGTACAGTACTTTGAATACGAGACCTTTTGATCTCCAAAAGAATCTGCCCATGCTGGGCCATGGACTGGACGAAAACCTTGTCGAAAATACAACCGAATCCAGCCAGAAGGAAGGGCAAGTGTTCTTTTGGGAGATCAAAGGTGAACCATAAAGGGATGCTAAACACTTTTTGACCGCAACTGCACACCCTTTTGCATGCCTGCCAACTGTCTGCTTCCCCCAACTGCAACAGATCAAGGACTTGCCTACTACTGTGAGTTGCAAACCTCACTTGCTTCCAAAAGGATGTTGGAACGAGACACAGCACAAGCCACAAGCGTCCGGAAACACAACAACACCGGGCCAGCCTTCCAAGCCAAAACCGCTATGCACTGCGGAGGACTTTGCTCACGGGCTGCTTCATGTGAGTGCTTGATGTGAGTGTCTATTGATTGTGTGATTGAGGATATGATTGATGAAATGACAGTTCCAACTATCCACAACTCGGAAGTTTTGTTGCTGAGCGTCCTTTTGCGCCGTACAAAAACAAAGTGCTGTCCCAGCAAAAACTGCAAAAGAATGGCCAAATGCATGTAAGCACTTGGGAGAGAACAAGCATAATGAAGCATTTTGTCGCATTGAAGGCCGATCACGAAACGAAGGAAACGGCAACAAGTAAAGCAAGTCTGAGTCATACAACCAGCAGCGCTGAAAAGACCAACTTCGCATGAGCCAAGGCAGAATTTCAGGGAAGGCTCATGGACCCCTCACTGGAGTGATCTTATTATAATATCAATACATGTTCCATCATTGGTGTAACTTGTATGTAGCCCCAGGTCCCCGATTAGACTTCAGCGAAAAAGTTCTAAATGAAACTTTAACGTACGTTTTTTTTTTGTGCAGTCAAGCTACCCTTGCCTGTCTGAACTTGCCCAAGTTCATGAGGACTGCCGCCAACCTGGAGCGCTGCCGAAGTGTCGAAAGATCTTGCTCACCAAGCATTTTTCTCCTGTACTCCACCACGACCTCTAGTATCTGTTTGGCTTTGGCATGTTGGCTTTGCTGGCTGTAAATGATGGCAACACGCAAAAGAGCCCTGATGCTCTCATCATTCTGCAGACCATGTTTCGTGGCAACTTGTCTGGCTCGCCTGAGTGCTCGGGTCAAAAGATCACCTTGCGCATGCAAGTGATTGTCTTTTAAACTGCTGCGAAGTCGACGAATCCTGCCTCCGTTGCGAATGACCACGCAGGTTCTGTGGCGTGTCTCGCCCGGCGGGTTCAGCTCGACATTCGCCAGGTTCGTGCCCGGAGGCTTGTTCTCCCTGCGCATCTCAGGAGTTTGCCGCACCGACACATCGAAGGCATTGTCAGGATGCACGACGATGGGGATGCAACATTGAACCCGTTTCGGGTATTCTTCATTCACATACTGATCACCTCTGGCTTCCCTGTCACGTCTCATCATACTCCTGTAGTTATTGTCCAGGAGCAATTCGGTGCTTGCCCATTCATCCGGTGGCTTGGGGACAGTGTAGATCCCCTTGCCCCACCAGGCGTTTGCTTTTTCTCCTGAGGTGATCAGAGAGGCCCAAACTTCGACCTTCTCTTTGGCCTCATTGGTGATGTTTCGGAAGGCTAGCAAAGAAGTGTAATGGAAGTATACCTCCCCTGGTTCTTTTGCATCATCCGCATCTCTGAGATCTAAGGGATCTGCCCAAACCAGAATTCCCAAGTGCTCATGACGCCAGCACCAAAGCTCCTCATCAAATGAATATTCCTCATTTTCGAAGATATCACCGGCATCATACCCTGACTGGAAATACTCCCTCAAAGGTGAGACCTTCCTCATGATCAATGGGATCACGGGCGAAGGAGGGGCATGCCGCAAGCCAGCAAGCCTTCCTTTCAATTTCTAGTAACAGGTGTTGATGTGAACGATTGCAATTTGCAATAATACTGTATGGACTCTGGGCGCTATCACGTGGCTGGGGATCAACCTTGTGCCTGAGGGAGACGTGTGTCTTTCCATGGAAGCCTGAGCCACTGACCAAGTGGGGCTAAATCCACACAAGTCCCGAACATATGATCATCTGCTCGTTCCGCTCGTGCACGGGGTCACCAACCAGTCATTTTCGTCAGCCTTCGTTCTGCACTACCCTTTACAGGGCCAACCAAAAACACAAAAAAACTATGTTCAACCAGGTGCTTTTTACATTCAACTAGAAACTATGTTCGCATCCTGATCGAGTTGAGGCAAATCTTGAAACTTATGGCATTTTCGTTGGCCCTGCTTCAAGGCATGCCTTTCATGCGCAAGCCCGGCCCTCGCACGTGCTAGATTTCAGGCAGCTTCTTTGAGGCGGTCGCACCTGGAGGAGATCTCCACAGCATGTCAGACACAATTCGTGCGGCAAATGACAAGTGAAAGTCAAAGTGTCAAGCCACATCCGCACCATCAGGACGTCACATCCGCACCCAGGGCGCATGTAGCGAATGTTCTGCACAGGTCTGCCATTGCCTCCACTGCATCTGGGAATGCTTCATGATTCCTTGCAATGGAGAAATCTGTTCTCCCAAAGCCGTCCTGTCAAACATTTATGAAAGTCACGCGTTGATTCCCCAATCAGCAACGGCTTTCACATGCGTTTCGCCCTACATAGCAACATGCATGGGCTGGAACACACGACGAGAGGCGCGCCATCGAAAACGTGAAGCAAAGCGCGAGTCGGGCCGCCTTGACAAATCAATGTTGAAGGGTTCCAAGAAGGTTAGTTCAAATCCATAAGCTACAGGTGGTGCCGGTGCCATCCACTTCCATGTATGTTTTTTCAGGGAGTCTTTTGAAAGAACGCATCTCAGAGCTCCCACATTCCGAGTGAGTTCCGCCGGCCTTCCAGCCGCATGCCGGGCGAAGCTCGGGACCAGAGTGTGAAAGAGAGCGTCCACATGGCGAACATGTCCTGCAAAGCATTATGGAGCGTTACGGTGACGGTGCTGACCATGTGCAAAGCATCATGAAGCCTTTTTTAGAAACTGTGCTTACCAAGGGGGCTTACCATATTTCTTGGTCGTGAGTCATGAGACAATGACATGTGGAATGCCATTTGCAAACCAATGCACCACACAAAGTTAAATATATATATATATATATTATCTCTACCTGTACAGTTCCTCCTGATAATGGCGCATTTCTTGAGCAGGGGCATGAAATAAATAAGAATGTGCATGTTCATAAATATAATATTCCTTGCGATTCTCCCCAGGTTGGAATGTTTTCAGATCCAAGAGCAACACAGCAATCCTGAGGCACAAGGTGTGTCTAAAGTCGTTCGTTTAAGTCGTTCGTGGTCGTCCACGGAAGGGTTTTCAGCAGGATCTTTGGAAAATGTTTCATGTAATCATGTAATGTAAAGAAAAACATGAAGGAGCCAATGTCTTGGATTCATTCCAGCTCCACGTTCCACTACATGCTGTACGGCTGAGAGATGCTCAGAGCACGTTTTTGCACAAAACAGTGGCAATTCTCTACCCACGATTACTGACCACTGCATTTTTTAGATTCCTTAGGATAACCTGCCTGTTCACTTGTTCGATTCGAAACAGATCTCCCAGAAGTGTCTTCGAACTTCCCAATCCTCGATGCAGACCCTGCGCAGTCCTCGGCTCGCATCTGCCGCCCAAAGCACCAACCACCTCCCCCGTTCGTTCGGGGCACGTGTCAACCCCCTCAATCTGAGAAGAGATTTGCTCGGCCGCCCCCAGGGGTTCGGTCGGCGACAATAAGATCTGAACGGAATGGAGCTCTACTGCTGAAGGAATAGACCTTGCACCTCGAAAGAAACCTCCACACGATCAGGCAACTGCCGGGTTGCTTTTAGTACTCCAGGTGATGCAACATGTCATCAAACTTCGCCGACTTTCACTAAAGTCTTAAACTGCCTGGCAGGTCAGAGTTAATGCTCGAAGGGCTTCAATCAGTCAGACAGGTCACTGTCAGACTCCTCTCAACCCTCTTGCTTGACATCTCAACGACCTCGAGGTCTCAACGGAACACCGCCCCAAACGGACCGTCTCGAACCACCCAGACCGTCCCGAACCGCCCAGACGGACCAAACCCGAGAACGACTCGAGAACGACGTGGAGTGGTGGATGGGAACTGTTGCTTCTTTGTTAAGTGGAGAGACTGCAAAGATACAAATTTTGCACAGGGGGCATCCTACCGTAAACGGTTCTTTAAAAGAGAAGGGCAGTCGCCAATGTGTGACATCTTCGCTGGGTCCCTTTTTGCGTGTCTCATTCAATACACATCGGTACCCCGAACCGACGACAATGGTTGCTTCGGTCAGTTACGGGGCGTCAGGGCCCGACGGGCCTCGGGCATGGGTTCCTCTCCGAGTAGAACCTTATGCCTCTCTGGACGTTGGATTGTTCAACTCCCCGTTTACATGGGTTGGAAAAGCTCTTCATGTGGGGGGAGCGCTTGTTCATCAACAGTCTACATTAGAACGGGACGTGAACTACTCAGTTGCTAAGACATGCAAGATGGCTAAACCGACGCCACTCCATGTCAAGCCACCAGAGCAGTCCTCCAAGTGCCGAGAACGGTTCCCCAAGAAAAGGGCTGGTTTGCTTCGGTCAGGGGCTTCAACTCTTCAACTGTCCAGCTGGGAAGGTCTCCCGAAGGTCTCCCGAAGGCGTCACGGGAGTCTGCCTGCTCACTCCGTCAGAACATCTCCGAGGCTGGCTTCCAAGATCTCTGCAACATAGCATCAAGCCTGCAGCGGTCGCGCACATCCGATGGCTTCTAACAGGCTTTGAAATGCGCTAACTTACTTTTGTCTTGAACTCAACCAAATGCGCCACGCATGAAGGGCCATCTGCAATTTGGTCCAATCCCACTCTGGTGAATCTGTCAGTGAATCTGTCCTATTGAACGTACCGATATCTACTGCAGATCTGGGTACTTTCGGCAGCCCCCCAAAACCCCAAGCTTCTGTCTGATTGGTTTCTGCTCTTCCAACATGGACCCTCATGGCCTCATCCTCTTGGACACCCGAGGCAACTACACCAGTTCCATCCCGCCTCAGGCGCCGTGGCGCCGTGTAGAGACTCGTCCGACCTCCGGACGCGCCAGGGGGATGAAACGAACCCGGCACGAACGGGGCCCGACAAGGACGTGTTTTTTGGTTGGTTGTTTTGATGTTGTTTGCAAACAATGATTGGAACCACACCAAACTTCGGTTGAAGTCATTCAGTACCATGAATGCTGAAAGGTTTAACTCATGGAAGGTGCCTTTCGTGAAAACATGGCCATTCTGGCTGGAGATGTTCTGGCTGCTTCCAAGCCGCAGGTTGGTCGACCCTGATCCGCTCCACTGATCAGAGAGTCTCTGCACCGCCTTCCCCAGTTCCCGAGACCGCACGTGTGCGCGCGCGTGGCGAGCCGTGCTGCGAGGAGACTCGTGCTTCGGCCGCCGGAGGAGACTCGTGCTTCGGCCGCCAGCCATTTGGAACAGAACTGCTGCAAGGACTCTTCCAGCTGGCACGCAATGGCACGCCAATGCTTCGATATGCCAAGTGAACCTTTGATGTGTCTAAGCGACCCTTTGATAAGGGCAGGTGACCCTTTGGTCTGTAAAAGTTGCCTTTTGATATTTGAATGAGCCTCTGGATATTGAAATCTCTAATTGCAAGGTGGCACGCAAATGGCACGCTCTGACACGTGCCACCTTAAATAAAACAACTAAAAAAATTGATTTAAGTGGAATAAACATAATGTCTTTCTCTTCATTCAAGTTTTCCCAAAGGCCTCATGGAAGCCCCTACTTCAGGATCTGTAAAGGTTTGGGTGTTTTTTTTCTGTTCGCGCACACTGCATGGAAACTAAAACGTGCTAGTGGGTTTTCTACACATTCTTGGAAGGGGTTGTTGAAGCATACTTGATGCATATATAAGGGTGCAAAACTTGACATGCACTTCCTGGAATCTGGTTCATTCATAGACTTTTTGGCAAGCAGGGACCGGCGTTTCAGTAGCATTCACTCTTTTGCAGTTTGTTGCAAGTGTTCGCAAATGTCCCCATTTGGTACACAGTTTGGTGATGTTTGTCGCTGTGCTGACCGTACTGCCAACTTGTAAGTGTGCCATGTTGTTGTAGTTGTGACTTCTTTGGCTTGCTTTGCGCTGTTCTGACAGCTTTGACTTCTGATTCTGTGTTTGTATATTCTGACCCCAGCAGGTCTTGCTATTTGTCCGGTATGCTTGCACTGATATGTGGTTTGTGCTACTGTGTCAAAAAAAGAAAAAAACACTCCGTGTTTGGCTTGGTGAATCAGTCGTTCCGCTGACACCAAAATAGACGCACGTCCTGGTGCAAGCAATCCAAAGGGCCACTGGAAGTCATGGGCTTGCCTGACCCTTTTTATGTCCTTCAAGAGCTCCCTTTGTCCAAAAGTCTCTGGAAAAAGAATACAGAAAGGCACAAACATCCTAGCTGCAAGTCTACGCGGCCTTCTGCTGAAGGAACTGTTGCCTGGAACAAATTCAAGGCAAGGCTCGAGATTCAAAAACAGAACTATGATATTTCAGCCAAAGCGAACAGGTCAAGTCTGAACATGCATAACATAACCGTCATACTCACCTGAATTGGGAGAGCCCTGCATCGGCACCTCCATCCAAGGCCTGCAGATGAACATCTCCAGAAATGTGGAAATACCATCTAGCAACCCCCCTTGTTACTAGTAAGTAGCGATGCCCCTGCTACTAGTAGCGATGCACTTGTTGTTCACCAAACCGTCATTGACAAAAAGTTGTCACGCTGCATTCAACGTCCTGGTTCAAGGTGTCCTTCGCCAAGTGCTCAGCTTCTGGTGCCTTCGCCTTGGCTGCAGCACTCACTTGGCTGTTGTTTTGGC